CCACTGTGCACCACACTCCAGGATTTCAGAGCAGGGTTTCAGTTTACCTACCCTCTGTGCCACCCCCTGTGGTGGATATAAGGTTATAAAGAGATCCCAGCACGCAGCAGCRGCTGGAGAAAGGACCCTGAGTATTCTTGTGCTTGGTCACCAACACTGGGGACATGCAATGGGCACTCCTGTGCCTGGCCTTGTCTGCAGTGGGGAAGACAGAGAGAAGGAAGCCCAGAGAGCCCCAGGAAGGTGAACTGACTGCAGAGTGTCAGACCATGTATCCCAAATCCTGTTTTCTCTTCTAATATGMCAACTTACATCAGTGCAGTGTCATTCCAATAAAGCTCCTTCTGTCCATGAAGATCTGTGCACCAGTACTTGCCTGCTGGCTGGCTGGGAGGCAAGCAAGGAAATGGCAGTGTTAATGGCTGAGCTGGAGCCTGGTGCGCWGGCAGAGCTTGGGGGAGCATACATGGGTGCTCCCCAAAGAACCAACAAAGAGCCAGCAAGCCATTGCCCAGGGGAAGGGAGGAGGATAAAGAGAGGATAGGGCAAGGAGAGACTGAGAGGGCCTCTGTGTAGGAAGACTGGGAATTGTGATACTTTCTGCCAGAGAAAATATGCAGAAAGACACAGCATCATGGAGAAACACAGGCTCCAAGGAGGTGAGAGRAGAGAGTTACACCATGAGGCACTGTAAAGGAGAAAGAAGGACCACATGGATGGGAAGGAATGACCCATAGCTGAGGCCTTCAAAACCAAAGTGATGAAAAGAGAGGAAAGATGAAAATGAGTGTGAGTGCTGCACGGGCGGAATGTCAGTGAAGGCTACATAGATGAGAAAGGTGGCYGTGTGAGGTGAAGGAATTCATMTGGCTATACAAATAYGTCAGATCCACTCAAGAAACATATRTATTGAAGATGAACTCATCTCWTCCCAAAGCAGATGTCAWATACATCATACATCTACTTCTCTCTGAAAAGATAGAAGAAGATATCCACCCCGAGCAGGTCAGATTTCAGTGAAAGAACCCTTTATGCCTAATAATACTCTGCTCTTGGGTGGCAAATGGAGGGCAGAACTTTGGGATGAGGGCTSTGTGTGTGTGTGTTTGAGGGTGATCTCCTGGGAGATTTTCCCCAGGGCTGGGTGGTACCCAAGGAAAGGAAACATGAGTAGGTTTCAGCRCTGCTTCACTGCTGAACTCTTCAGCAGAGAGTACTTTCCCAAGGAAACTCCTCCGGTGGGTTTCACTTTTGCCGGCAACACCCATTGCTCACGTTTAACCTCACAGGCTTCAAGCAGGGATTGCGTACAGGGCCAGCAAGCAACAATATGTCCAGGAGCAAGGAGTGAACCTGCAGGACAAACTGCAAGAGCTGCTGGAGCAGCTTGTGCACTGGCACAGCCCTTCACCCTGCCAATAGCTATGGCACAGCAAGGATGCCCACAGGATTGGGCCTCTGTGTGTCCACAGCAAGCAGGCTTTGGCATCTCACACAGGCCCCAGCTTGGGAAGCCCTTCCTCCATTGCCCTGTCCTTCCAGCTCTGCATGTGGATAAGTCAAAGCAACTCCTGGTGTCTCAGGGTCACCCCGGTCCCACACAGTCTGCCRCTAGCCCTGGTTACAGGACAGACCTGCCTGATCTCCTTACAGTGATTAACAACAGCCCTTCAGATGGTTTAATGTCATCGGGAGTCTTTCTACAGGCTCAGCTCACGTCCTAGAACAGTGCTTCCCACTCCTTTTTCCATGTCAGTGAGCAAAGAGGRCTCATCCCCCTGCCCTGGGTTCCATCCTGCAGCACCCCCAGCTCCCTGCATCTGCCCAAGCACAGCRCCCGGGAATGCTGCAATATCAGCTGAACTGGGCCACAGAGCATGGAAAAAGCAGGAGGGCACCCAGGTGACTGAGGCACCAGCAGCACACACAATAATGGCTCGAAACCTTGGCACGGCTCTTTGGAAACATTACTKGGGGGCAGGGGGGACAGGGCAGGTGGAGGAAGTGTTGTCAGCATTCTTTTATTCATACTGTATGAAGAAAAATACCCTGAAACAATGCGGTTGGGATTGGCAGCAGCTGTGAGTCACTTGCTGTAGAGGCAGAGGTCTGTGTGAAGCCCCAAGCAGGGCAGGAATTTAATCCAGCTCCCCAGATGCTGCATAMAGGTATAAAAATGTGAGCTTTGGTACTGGCTCACCATCTGCTTCGAAGTGCATGTAACAACACAGTAAATACTGTTTGCATGTATTTGCAGATTTACTGGTCAGATAAGTGGTGAGGATGGTATGAAAAGGCCTGCTTAGAAACAAGGGTAAAAAGAGGCATCAGGCATCTTCATCTTTGTTGCTACCACCACTTTGTATGGAAATAATGCTCACATTCATTAGACTGAAAGTGGTCATCACAGAGGGCAAAAATAATTACAGAGCAAATAACAGGATGTTATTTAACATTGTAAATGTTTCTACATCCTCACCTGTGCCTGGATATTGCCACTGCACCCAGCTCAAAATGAGTCTATTCAAAGAGAAAGAAAAGATTAGAGAGACAAGACAAAAATTGTATTGAAAGAGATTGAATAGTCAAG